CTGGACAGACACGCAGCGAGATACAATACGGACGGACGTGCGGAAAGTACAAACGGCTAGATGTAGACTCTACAGGAAAGGGAAAGTGCTGCCTCCTAAAACCTAGAACTGCTTTACTGGAAGTAAGTTATATGTGTGATCTTTCAGACTTTCTGGGTAGGAGAGGGGACTGTTTTCACTTACCTAATTTTCTCCTCACAGACCGCACGTACAAAATCCTGGACGTGAGGCTGAGTGAAATGTTTGTCATAATAATCCATCAACTTGGCATATATTGTAGGCACTGCCATAAATACGTTAATTCGTGGAGCTTCAGAACTTAAGAGCTTTTCCCAAACCTAAAAAGGAAAAAGGAGGGATACGGCAAAAACGTGAGAAACCACACACACACACACACACACACACACACACACGCTCAGACGCGTGCCATCTGCTTCCAGAACAGTTTTCTTTGTGGAGACCGCTCCTTTCCTTCGGCTCTGAGGGGCCCGTAAGCGGCTCCCGTCACTTTCACGGGGTGACACAGCCTCTGGCCACTCCGTGGACCCGCTGTGCCAGCGACACTGGTGTCTGCTGCAGGGTGACCTGTGGGGGACAGCAAGTCGCGAGAGGGGGCGCGGCTCCGGCGTCGGCCCGGTGTCAGCAGCGGCGGGGCACCTCACGCCCTCCCGAGGGGCACCGGTGAGCCCCGGGTCAGCACAGCGCCTGGCGCCAACAGAGGTGGTGAATGCGCCACCGTCCCGGCTCATCGGAAAGGCACGTGCATTTTGTGTCACTGGGCAACAGACGCTTCTTGCTTTCGTACAAAAGCGCTTCACGTGTCGCCTAGTCCTGGAGGCAGCTGGGGCAGCACACTCCCCCCGCGGCTCCCCTCCCCACGGCGCTGCCGCGTAAGCCCCGGTCATGGGGGGGTGGGGGTGGCACAGAGCTCACGGCACTGGGCCCCCGGTGCCCCGGACACATGCAGACCTCGGCCCATGGCATTCGAGGGCCTGGCACCTCACATGCTGCCCCTTGACCGGGCTCTCAGGGAAACAATACCGTTCCTTTACAGACAATGATGGGCACCCCCATGTGACAAAGCACTGAGGAAACAGGAAGATGTGACCCATAATTAGGAAAAAAAATGTCTTTGAGCAGAGCCTCAAAGATCCAGATGTTGGAATTATCAGACCGGGAACTGGAAGCGATTACAACAAACAGGCTACAGAATTTTGAAGAAGAGGTGAACAAAACAAGAGAAAATCAAGGATCTCATCGGGAATGTGGAAATACAAAAAAGAACCATCACAAAACCAGGAGATTTACTGTCCAAAGTCACGAGTTCCCCGGACAGACTCAGACACGGATAGGAAGGCACAGAAGGACAGAAGCAGTCGGGCACAGGCCGGTGGCAAAGGTCTACACTGAAAGTGACGGGACAGGACAGGAG